TACCCAGTGTATGATTCATTTATATAATGTTCAAAAATAGCAAGACTAATCAAGGAGAGAGAGCTGGGATGGTGGTTGCTACCCTATGGAAAGAAGGCAGTGACCGAGAGGGACGAAGGCATGGCTTCTGCACGTGTCAATACTGCTCTATTTCTTGATATGGGTTGTGAGGACTCACCACACCGAACACGTCTATGCACTTTCAATGCACTTTTCTGCAGATAATGTTTATAGGACATTTTCCTTTTTCGCCTTCTTCACATTTCCTTCTACTTCCTGTATATATTAGATTTCAATACCTCTGTTTATTAAAAATTATGAATGATTATTGACAATATTTTCTTTCTCATTAGGGGTTAGGTGCTACCATCGCTCAGGAATGTCTGTTTTAGGGACATGTATATATATTTTTTAGTCTAACGGGTTTTGACAGAACCTTGAATCGGGGGACCCAATGGGGCCACAGGATGTGCTGTTTTGTAATTTGTTCCCAAAGTGCTCTATAAGCCCTTAGTGTCACTGACTTTCCTGGCTGAAGGCGTCCCCCAAACTTGGAGTGCCGGTGGTTGGGACGGCAATGGGAAATGTTACTTCAGGGTGAATGATTAGTCTTAGGAAAAGGGCTTAGACTTAGGAAAAGCGTTATGCATTGTAGGCTAGGTAAGGGGTAGCATTTCCCAAAGTCAGGCAGAGATTCGTCAGAGGCACCATAAGGGCAGGTAAGAAGAGGGTACTTAAGGATAGAACCTGGTTTGAACCTGGGACCCCTTGGTAAGGAGTCTTATTCTGGCTGTGCCCACCCCCACCCCACCCCAGCCTTGGAATTGGTGAAATGTCGAACGCGGGGCTTGCCTTGCGGCTTCCAGGCCTATATTATAATTCCTTTGGGTCAAAAGTCAACATACCCGTCAGCCTCGCGCCATGTGCTGTGGGGTCCAAAGGGAAGAGAAGAAAGGGGTGCTGGGGCTCCTCACAGCACCTCTTGGCCAGCTCCGCCTCTGGGTCTGTGCCCAGGGGTCCCGCAGTTGAGAAGGGGGAGGCTCGTGGCTTATATGGAAGAGGCCAGAAGGAGAACAAGCCCCTGAGGGGTGGTTTCCAATGGGACGATTCAAGGAGGAATAAACGCTCAGAGCTTCTGCTGTCCTCTGGTATGTCGTGAAACTGATTCTGGAAAGGTGAGGTACAGCTTTGCACTAATGAGGAACACATATTTCTTTTATAATCAGAAAAAAATGAACCTAGATTTTCAAAAGATGTTTATATCAGGTGGTGCTAAAAGGCTTCAGAGTCATCTATGCCTCTCCCACTTAACCCGACCTGCCTTCTGCTTGCAAGGCACTGGGAAATGGTGAGGACCATGTTTCCTGCCTTTGAGATGCTTACAGGGGAATAAAAGAAGCACTGAATCAGAGTCTAAGAAAGAAGCTAGGAGACCAGAAGCCATTCTGAATGGGAGAGGCACAGCAGGCTTAGTGGAGAAAGGGGAAGGTAAGGGGTTCACGTTCTCTCTCTACTGTCTGTAGGACTGTAGTTGTAAGCTTCAAGGGCCTTCTCTGCAAATTAGAAAGATAGTATCTTTGTGTTATCTATGATGCAAGTTTTGTTAAACAAAGTAATGGGGGGAAGGGGGAAGTGTGAGCCCTTAGCCTCTTGAGACCATCCTCTGTCCAGTGTGGCTGTAGTTGTTTTTGTTTTTTGTGTTTTTAGATTTGAGAGGAGAGAGGAGACTGTGCATGCACATGAGGGGAGGGGCAGGGGGAGAGAATCTCCAGCAGACTCCCTGCTGAGCGTGGAGCCCAACACAGGGCTCGATTCCACAGTCCATGAGATCATGACCTAGCAGAAACCAAGAGTTGGATGCTTAACCAACTGAGCCCCCCAGGTCCCCTCAGTGTGGCCATAGTTTTAACTTTCGCATTGCCACACCCACTGGGGCAATGGAAAGAGAGCCTGATGTTGGGGACTTGTTCCCCTGGCTTGCTGACCCCTGAAGCAGGAGCCCCTTATTCCCAGAGCTGACACCTGGAAAGTAGTCTCCTTGGTCAGCCAAGTGGGCAAGAGTCTGAGGCAGCTGGACCTGGAGAAGCCAGAAGCCTGTTTACAAGCGCTCCAGTGAATGAGTCATGTGTGTGGACGTTTGTCACCACACCCCAGAGTCCGAGGCAAAGGAGAAAGATAAGCAACCATTACTAGCCACTTTCTGCTCCTCCCTTGGGACAGCACATTAGCCCATTCAGAGCACCCAGAGGTGTGGGTTTTTTTTTTTTTTTTTGAGGAGGGGGAGGAGCAGTGGGAGAGCGACAAGCAGACCCGCACTGAGCGCAGAGCCTGATGCAGGGCTTGGTCTCACACCCCTGAGATCATGACCTGAGCTGAAACCAAGAGTTAGCTGAACTGACTGAGGCCCTCAGGTTCCCCCGCCGGTGGTTTTTGAGTTAGTTCCCTTGCAGTTGGGGGTGTACTGAGGACCTGTGGGCAGGAGTGGTTGACAGTGGCAGGGTGGTAAACGTCTCTCCCTCTGCTGGCCCTTCCTCCCCACCCCCAGCATGGCTCTACACAATGTCTTATCCTGGGGGATTGTTCCTGGTTGCTCCCAAAAGCAAACCTGTGCTGGTCATCTAACTGCACGGCTGGTGTCTGGGAGTCCCGGCATGCTCTAGTCTGTTGCTTTGGGAGGAGGACAGGTGGCTAACCTGTCCAGTCCAACCTGCCAGGCACCTTGTCCACGCGCTCAGGGCCAACAGAAACTCTTCCTCTTTCAGTCAGGGCTAGAGGCGGGCCGGTGAGAGGAACGAGAAGTCAACTCGCTGCACCCTGGCTGTGGGAGGTGTTTATAAATGCTCCTGGAATGCAGTGAACCTGCGAGGGGCCAGCCGTCCCAGGACCACCTGGCCTGTGGGAGAGGGTGGGAGGGATGCCCAGGTGGATTCCTCTGAAGGCAGGTAGGGAACAGGGCCGGGTGGAGCGCCAGCCCTGTCGTCATCCTTGTTGTTGCAACTGCACACCCCCCAGCATGGACTGTGGGGCTATAAAATTAGAAGACAGACTTACTCCCAGGCGGTCAGCAAGTGAGGCTTGAGGGACAATGTGTTCTGGCTGGAGGAAGGGAGAAAACAGCCACCCAGGCATTCTAGCACCAAGTGCACCCAGTGCTCTAGCTCCTGGCTTCTCTCTCTCCCCTGACATATTTCCAATTCCTGCCTCTAGTGAGCCCCGACTCCTCTGAGTTAACCCATGCCAACGTCCAGTGTCTAGAAGGATCTTGATCTTGATTTCCTGTTGGTGGTGGTGGGACAGCTCTACCCTCCCAACCTACCACCTCTGCTTTAACCACAGAGCCTATGTGTGTCTGACAAAACCCAAACACATGAAGTCACAAGGTACTCATAATTTTTCCTTCCCCCTTGCCCCCACCCGCTTTGTCCTCTAATCCTTTCCATGAGTGGAAGGGATGCTTGGTGTCCTACTCAGCCTGTGAGGCTGTCCGGCTAGGTTTCATTCCTTGCTATCTTTATTGTGGGGCAGCACTAACGATGTGAGTGTGGGGGCGGACGGGAGAGGAGAGCTGAAAAACTTTACTCCCAGGGTCAGGTTGGACCCCAGATCTCTGACTTTGTCCAGCTGGGATGTCGTGGAGCAGTGCACAGGTAGGAAAACCAGGAGGGAAGTCAATGCCTTATTTAATAAAGTACCAAGTTGGAATAGACAGCAAGGATGGATAAGTGGCAGGGTGGGGTGAGGCCAGAGGCAGACAGGCCCTAGGTGAACATGAAGGCATCTGGCTGTGACCCGCCATGATATTGGGCGCTGGGTGACTTCTGCTCATACCTGCCTTACAACGTGAAACACAGCCTCATCACACCACTGCTCAAAATCCTCTGAAGGCTGGCTCACCCTGGCCTAACACTGCGGTATAAACTCCTTAGTCTGGTGTTCATGATCTGCATGATCTGGGCCCACCTACCTTGCCTGTCTTATCTCTACCATCCACCCCCAGTGCCCTCCTAAAATAGCCCACATTCCAGCGCCATGGGGTGCCCGTAACCCCTAAACATGCCTTGAACTTTCCGGCCCCCCTACCATTGCTTAGGCTGTTCTTTTCTCTCTTCCTGAAATGCTCTTCCCTTGTGCCCCCCTCTCTGCCTGTCAAATCTGGTATATGCTTTAGGGCCCAGCTCAATGTCACTGCCTTCATAAAAAAATCCACCTGCTTAGAGAAGTCACTCCAACCTCAAAACCCCCAAAGCATTTTATTAGTATAGGACTTCCTTTTTTTTTTTAAGATTTTATTTATTTATTTGTCAGAGAGAGAGAGAGAGAGAGAGGGAACACAAGCAGGAGGAGCGGGAGAGGGAGAAGCAGGCTCCCCGCTGAGCAGGGAGCCCAATGCGGGGCTCGATCCCAGGACCCCGGGACCACGACCTGAGCCGAAGGCAGACACTTAACTGACTGAGCCACCCGCGTGTCCCTAGGACTTCCTTTATAGCATTTGTCATGGTGTGCCTTGAAACTGGATCTTGTTCAGAGGGCTTTGTGCCCTCCGTAGCTCCTAGCACAGGCACCAAGTAAGGTCTCAGTAAATCTTTATGGTAATGAATGGAGCCATGAGGTTGAATGACACCAATAGATGGTCAAGAAGCAGAAATGGCACCAAAACAACAGAGTTCTATTAGGGCTTGCCCATCACTTACCTGTCTGGTGCCTCCTTTCTTTTCCCTTTCTATCACCATTACATATTTACAACGTACTGAATAGGTCTTTCCCACTCCGGAGCCACCCTCAGTGCAAAGCCCAGGCATCATGCATCTTCTAATTTCCTCCATGGGAAAAGGATACACTATGTGCTCATGGTTGGCTGGTATAACCTGCACACTCTTCAATTCCATAGCACTTCCTGAGGACCCACTGTGTACCTAGGTTTCTGCCAGGGGCTACGGAAGGGACAAGTTAAATAAGTCACCACCTGGTCCCTGCCCAGACAGGGACTACTGGAAGCTTACCCATGGAGTAAATGTGAGTGAAGTGTCACGGTTAGCAGGACCTGGGAATGAAGGGAATCTGCCAATCCAATGGACATCTGGAACAAAGAAGTGAATGATTGGAAGCCCAGAGATAAGGAGCATGGAGAGACTGACCAGGATCCACTCAGGGAGAGCTGGGGGAACTGGAGTGGGGGTGGCACTCTGTTCTCCTTATGTTTGGTTTGGCAATCCTATTTTCAGTTCCTCCTTTATTCACCTTCCCTAATTTAGCCTCCTAGCCTCACCTTATTTGGCGAGGGCAGGCAAAATAGGACACTCCCACATCACCTCCTGACCGCCCCCCCACCCCTTACCTTCCCCTTTTCGTGCCCTCAAATGATCCTCCTCCTCCCCGACCCACCTGGCGCCATCCCAGAGTAAACCACCGGCTGGCCAAAATCAAAAGAGCAGTGAATCGGGGATCGCGTTCATTATCACCCTCATAGCTACTCTTGATTGAGAACTCACCGTATGCCAGGCTACATTATCTTTTTTACGGCAACACTAGGAGGAGATTGTTATCTCATTTTATGGGTGAAGAAACTCAGACCAAAAGATGTTAAGTAATCTGTGCCAGCTCACACACCTGCCAGTTGGCGGTGCCAGATTGGAAATGAGGTCTGACTCCCAGGGCAGTGCCCCGGTCAGTTCCGGTTGCGCCGTGCGACCTTTGGCAGTTGGGGACCCCGTCCCTTAACCAACACCTCTCGCACCGGAATTCTCCAAGCCCCCGCCCCCGCCCCGGCCTCGCCAGCCTTCGGCGCCCGAGCTGCTAGCCCGCCGGAGCCGCGGAGGCCGGCACAGCGCGGGCAGGTGGAGCGGGCGGGGCCAGCGCCGCGGCCCGGGCGAGGAGAGGCGGGGCCTGGCGGGGGGCGTGGCCGGAAGCCTTAAAGAAGCTGGGGCGGCGGGGCGGGCCGCAGCGGCCGCGGATTGCGGCGATCGTCTCCTCGCTTCCGAGCCGATCGCGGCACCGTCACCATGTCCCTGGCGGCCTCGGCGGGCCGAGGCCCGGGGGCCGTGTGGTCCCCAACGCACGTGCAGGTGACGGTGCTGCAGGCGCGGGGCCTGCGGGCCAAGGGCCCCGGGGGCACGAGCGACGCGTACGCGGTGATCCAGGTGGGCAAGGAGAAATACGCCACCTCGGTGTCGGAGCGCAGCCTGGGCGCGCCAGTGTGGCGGGAGGAGGCCACCTTCGAACTGCCGCCGCTGCTGTCCGACGGGGCCGCGGCCGCCGCCACCCTGCAGCTCACCGTGCTGCACCGCGCGCTGCTCGGCCTCGACAAGTTCCTGGGCCGGGCCGAGGTGGACCTGCGGGAGCTGCACCGGGACCAGGGCCGCAGGAAGACCCAGTGAGTGCGGGCCGAGGGGAGAGAACGGGGAGCGGCGGGCCGGGGAGCGGGGCAGTGCGGGGTGGGGAACGTGTGGCTGGGCGCTGAGATCCTTTTAGAGCGAGCGCGGCGCTCCCCGCACCGCTGTGTCCCAAGGGGACGGACAGAGAGAGGCCTTTGGACAGGGATCCCCCGGGCCGATAATCAGTCTCACCTAGCTTCAACTTCTCCTTCGGCTGTCCAGCCCCAGCTCTCCCAGTGTGTGGGCTCTTTGAAGCCGGCGCTAGGGGTGGGGGTGGGGGAGTACCTGGGGTGTTTTTGAATCTGCGGGACGTCGCTCAGCGCCCGGAACTTAGTAAGCACTTAATGAATTTTCGATGAATTGGAAATACTTGTGGGCTGACGAATTCTTCTTACTAGTGTGGGTAGTGTGGATGTTTGATACACTCATTAGCTTATGTGGAAAGCCTCCTGGGTATTTAACTGTCCTAGACACTGAGCTGGGAATGGCTGGGCCTGGGAGCAGGCAGGGTCAAGGTGGAGGGTGAACCCCACGGACACTCTCTGGCCCTAGAGGCTCACCCGGGGACAGAGCTGGGGCATTACAGTGCGGGGTGGAGGCTGCCCAGAGATGGCTGTCCCTCACCCCCACCTCAACTGCGGCCTACGGGCTTGGTGAAGAGAATCTGCTCCTCCCTCTTCCCCTTTTCTTCTCCCACCCCCGCCCCCAAAGCCTGCTAGAACAGTTTGGTCTTCACTTTCAGACTGAAAATTATTAACCCGGTTTGCCCTGAGCCCCAAAGTTAGTAAGGATTTCCCAATGCTAGTTGGAGCGAGGGTCTGCCCTTGGCCCAGCTGAAGTGGGAGGTAGGCTGTGTTTCTTTTTGGCCTTTGTCAGGTTCTCTCTGGTCCTCCTCTGAAAGGTTGGCTGCTCACCTGTAGCTTCTCAGTCTAGAGTTGTGTGCTAGGGTATCTGACTCCCACAGGGAGAGCTGGGCACCACCCATTTCACTTCAAGGTATCACCCATTTATTTGTTCTCTTTCGCAGGTGTTTGCCATGGAGCGTTTGATTATGGAACATTTGATTATGCTCGTGTACTGTACCAAAAGCTGGCCTCCTTAGCTTAATTGGTTACTTTGCTGGAACTTAAATATGCAAGTCAGTCATATTACCACAACTCCTATTTGTGAAGCACACGGATTCCAATTGGGTGTTTTAGATATAAATGGTATTTTAACTTTCCCTTGTGAAGGGGACAGGAAAAGCCAGAGGGTTTGAAGTTGCCAGACTCCCTTTTCTGCATCGTGGGTCCAGTTTCAGCTTGCATGCTTGCAAATGCAATACCTGATTCACTTATTTGGCCAAAGATGAATAGGCATTTCTGAATTCAAATCAGATAAAAATAGAGAGCCTTGAGGTGAGGATGGGTAGGGTATCTCTTGGCATTAACTTATAAGCCATAAGGTGAGCAGTGCCTTTGCTAAGGAGGTGCTGAAGCAATGCTAATTTTACATTTGATTAAATGACATTTGGGGCTTTGGGTTGGCTTCCTTTCCAGCTTCAACTGGGCGCCATTTGGCCATCCCTTGTCTTGTTCCATCCCAAGATGCACGGGTATTATCATCTGTCTCTGCCGTCTGTTTCTTGTGTGAACATTTTATTCCCTTGAAAGACAGATCGCGTGGCCCCGCCAGAGATGAGGATTCCAGATTCCTGGGTCTGGTGCCCACTGTGGTCTTGACTCATTGTTAGGCTTTGGGCTGCTCGGTCTCTAAACACCCAAATTTCCCTATTTATACATGGAGCTTGTTGCCAGGCTTAATTGGTATTTATAAGATGTTTCTGGGTTCCTGGATTACTGGGGCCTGTGTATAGACTCCAAAGGTTCTGTTACTGCTTTGCGAGAAATGAAAACCTCCTTAAGTCCCCTATTTTGGGAAGGATTCAGAGGTCTGCATCTTCATTTCCGTCCTCCTCTCCAATGTAATCCTAAACCTAGATGGTTACTTCTGTCTCTGTTGTATGAGCTGATTCCCCCTTAGTCACAGTATCAACCTGTAAGAACGTGATGCTTAGTTGATGTGTTGGGTTCCCCCACCCCCGTAATTGCAAACGAAGTCTTCTTTACCCCCTCAGCAGTAGGTGAAATTGCAAGCTTTCCATCCGGCTTCCTGGGACTTTCCACGGTGCTGGGGAACCTACTTAAACCAAGCCTCTCTGCTGCCCCGGTATGTCCCTTGGGTGCTCAAGATAGCCGAGATTTGGAGAGTGAGATATATACCGAGAGGAGGAAGTTTACCAGAAAGAAACTGGTTGGGCTAGGAAAGGCATTTGATCCAGTTATTAATGGTTTGACTCCACCTTAGGTATTAAAAACCAGCAACAAAACAAAAGCTCAATTTTTGGTCTCTAGGTGTGTGTGTGTGTGTGTGTGTGTGTGTGTGTGTGTGAATGTGTGTGAATGTGTGTGAATGTGTGTTAATCTCGAGCAAAGAAGAGTATGACTCTTGTCATAGGTCCAGAAACTCAAGATGTCAAGAGCTAACTGTGCTAGAATTTCCCTTTGTTCTCTTGATAAGCCCTCCTCTGGCATACATTTGGAGGCAAGAGAATATGCTTTTCGGGACTTAGATTTTGCAGACCTCAAATTTAGTGTGATGACACATATCTTTAAAACACCACACCGCGGCTGACTTATACGTAGGATACTTTTAATAGGGAGGAGTGCCTGGCCCCTGTCGTTAAGAGGAAATTGAAATGCATTGATTTTGCACTTATCCTTACCTGTTAAAGACCCAGGGTCAAAGTTGGGCCTTGGTTAAGTGGAAACCAGTTAAGTCTCATGATCATAAAACAGACATGAATCTGCGAGGCAGAAACAGGTGACCAACGTGTGGGATTCTCTGCTTAGCTCTCTAGTCTCATGTAGTGGGGATCCTAGGTTGATCTAAGGAAAAAAAAAACTTTTTGGGATACTAAGAGCAACAAGATGTGGGGAAATAATCTGTTTGGGGCAGATTAAAATAAATATCCATTCAGCCTGGCGACCGGAAGGCTACTGTATATCATGAAACTTAATACTGTAATAGTTTTCCAGCCACGAAGAGAGAGTGAGTGATGGAGAGTCATTTTCTTACATCTCTTGAAAATGCAAGAGGGATTTTGGTTGCATACAAAAGGATTTGATAATAAAGGTTAGAGGTGTTGAGGAACTGTAAGTGTAGTAAGATGCTGTCGTAAGTTGCCAAAGGAAATCCGGGTTATTAAAAAGAAATAAGGGCTCGATAGTTGTTTTTATGGAAGAGTCGGATGCAGAAAAAGATTTAGATGAGCAAAGAGATAGGTAATAAGCAGGCAGTGTTTGTCCCTGTACTGTCAAGTCTCCTAAGTGCATTTAGGATTTTTTGTGACAAATTGGAAAATTGGAGCAATGATACTGATGAAGTTTTTCCTTTCTTGGGATTCCCCTTAAAGATAACATTGGGCCTTACTGGAAACCATCCCACCTCTCACAGGGCCACAGTCCCCTGCCATTCGTGTAGCAAACTGATGGCTGATGGCTCCGGCTGCAGATGCCAGAGCCTGAGTTCTCTGTCCGCTCTGGGATAAGTAACCCTAACCTGCCTATAGCCATGGAATGAAGTGACTAAGAAGAGGGAGGGTTACTTTAGAGTCATTGTTCTGGTCATGTGAAAGAAGTTCCCTCGTGGTTTTACTTGATTATGATTTCATCTGTAAGACATTCAGTTAGCCTGGGGAAAGTTTCAACTGCTTTTTTTTTTTTTGGTCGTTAAAATCTATATTTTTAGGACATTGTTTTAACTGAAGTATAGTTGACACACAATATTACATTAGTTTCAGGTGTACAGCATAGTGATTTTATGCCGCGCTCACCACAAGGGTGGCTACCGTCTGCCACATAATGCTGTTACATTTCCGCTGACTGTTCCCTGTGCTGGCCTTTCATCCTCCATGACTTACTCATTCTATAGCTGGAAGCCTGTACCTCCCACTGCCTTTTACCCATTTTGCCCATCCCCCACTTCCTCCTCCCCTGGAAACCACCCACTTTGTTCTCTGTATTGATGAGTCTGTTTCTGCTATTTGTTTTGGTTTTTTAGATTCCACAGATAGGTGAAACCATACAGTATTTGTCTTTCCCTGTCTTATTACACTTAGCGTTATGCCCTCTAGGCCCGTCCGTGTTGGTGCAAATGGCAAGATCTCATTCTTATATTTTTAGTAAATATTTTTAATACCTACTGT